ATGCCTCAGAGCGCTTAACAGTGGCGGAGCCTGACTCCGAACCAAGGGAGTAGGGAGGAAGTGACCGTAGGCACGGGACGGGACTTGAAAAAGGGGAGAGAGCGGGGGCAAGGCGGAAGGATTGAGGGAGAGTGTTCCAGAGTTTTGGGGAGTAGTGGCTGAATGCGGGACCTCCAATGGTAGAGCGGAGGGTGTGAGGGCCGAGCAGGAGCCTGGTGCCAGTTGAGTGGAGGCACCGAATGGTGGATTGGGGAGTGAGGAGGTCAGAGAGATAGGGAGGTGCCAGGGAGTGAATGGATTTGAACACGAGTGTGAGGATCTGCCAGGCCAGGATATTGGGGAGTTTCCTCTTCTGGATCTTGCAATACTCAGCTGTTCATTTCAGTGTGACTTTGCCCTTTATAATAATGATAATAATCATCATCATCCTTGCACTTGATGTTGCGACATGTTGATCCGTCTCACAGCGCTTCATAGGAAAGTGGATTGACTGTATATTTTTGGGGAAGAATAGAAAGATCCAACTTTGATTTTAAACTCCATATCCTCCATACGTTGTCCTGTTTACATTTGTAATCAATCTATTAGTCTCATAATTCATACAACCTCCTCCCCACTGAACCACAGCAAGAAGCTTTCACTCAACGCCGTTCTTTAAGAAATCTGAATCAAGGCTCGAGTCACACACAAGGTCACTTAAACTTTTGAAATCAAGTTAATACTAAACTATGAATAATAACAGTCTCTTGGAGAAATATCATTCCTAACCCCAGGGCGTTGCTTAGATCAGCAAAGTCCTGCAGGTCGTACATTTACAGAGCCTCCATAGCTGTTATAAGAATTCCTGAGAGCAAGTCAAGCGGAGTAGAATTTTTCATGCTAAATCCACATACTGCTACATGCTCTCCTCGAGCAATTACCAGACCTCAATCCTGCCGCATGGTTAGAAAAACCTTTAAGTTTGTGACTGTTTTTATTGCGAGATACCATGGAGATATTAGATATCTGATGGTCTAATGTTCTCCTCCCCTCACCCCTACACAGTATCTGTGAGAAATCTGTCCAAGTGATTAATGGAAGTTCTGTGATATTTCAGCTTTCACTTTGCTGTTTTGTTCAGTCCTGCATTTCTTCAGGTTTTCCTGATGCCTTATAGATACTTTTCACCCTGAATTTGTACTCTTAGTGTACAGTTCATAAAAAAAACTTACAGCAAGGCATGATGCTGGTTTCACTGGATGTGCGCACAGCTGGCTCACTTGTTTCCAGTGCACTGGCTGATTCCCACGCTAAAATAAATAATGGCTGACTTGTAGGTTTATCGGGTTTCTGGCAACATCACTTCCTGTTTGATGCGCAAAGCAGCAAAGTGATGCTGACAATGACCTGAGGCCCCAGGATTCTACCATTTTTAATCTTGGGAATCTAAAATGGTCGTCTTGTGGGTCATTAGGTTGCCGCCTACATCACTCCCTACTTTGCATTTGCGCAAATAACCCAGAAGTAAGCCATTTTATTGTGGAAAGCCAGACAGGGCACAGGAAGCAAGCAGGCTCACTGCGTGGACATACAGTGAATGTGATCCACAGTTCAATTATGTTACACCTAAATTTGCACTTTAATGAAGTGTGTTATAATGAAAGGGCCCTGGAATATGTTGTCCCCCCGGATTGTCCAGTGGATAAAGGGACTGTTTTGTGTAGCTTTACATTATACAGATCACAAGGTTTGCTGGCTGGAATTCTGGTTTGTACTGAGTTAGCTAATCTCAGCCTGGTCAGCACTGACAGTGTTAAAATTGCCCTCAATATCTTTGGGTTTAGAAGAGGAAAATCATTCAAGATAACTGCTCCTGCTAAACACAACTAGATGGAAAACATATCACTTAATACCAACCATAGCACACATCCCACTTATATTTATGAACAAGGTTACACCATATTACTGTGTTGTGTAAGACACAAAATCAAGAACACTTTCTTGTTCATTGAAAAAAAAACAGCATTCCCTGAAATACTTTTTTTTAATGTTCATTGTAATCCATCAGAGCACTGATCAATGATTGTCACCTGGCTCAGTTGGTAGCACTCTCGCATCAGAGTCAAAAGATTGTAGATGCAAGCTCCACATCTGGACATTGAGTTCATCATCTAGGCTGACACTCCAGTGCAGTGCTGGGAGTGCATTGCTCTGTTCGAGATGTAGTCGTTCGGATGAGAAACTAAACTGAGGTCCCTGTTCAGGTGGAAGTTAGAAATCCCATGGCATTATTTGAAAAGAGAAGGGAGTTTTTCCCTTGCATATGATATAGTGTCTTATCATGTCATCAAAATGTCTCAAAGCGTTTCACAGCATTTTGCTGGGAACTATAGTGACTGGGTGTTTTTGCAGATAAACATAGCAGCCAATTTGCGCACAACAATGTCCCACAAACATCCATGAAGTTAATTATGCTTAAAATGCCATTTAAATCATACATTCAGGACTTTACAGTAGATTTGGAATTGTAACGTGCAAGAGCTTCCAGAGACGCCTTCTATCAGCAACAATAATTGGCATTTATATAGTAGCTTTCAGGTAAAGGACCAACTCAAAGCACTCGACAAATGTAGTGGTGAGAGCGAATAGGAAACAAAGAGATTTGAAGATGAGCAAAGGTAATGGAAAATATTTTTAGGAGGTTTTTGAAGATTGGGAGAGCAGTAGCAAGGCCAAGCGATTTTGGGAAGAGGCTTCCAGAGCATAGAAGCATAAGGACTGAAAGCTCAGACTCTGATGGTCAAATGAAGAGTCAGGAGCGAGCAATGAGCTAAAAGCATAAGAGCAGAGGGTACAGGCTGGAATTATGGGCTGGTAAAGATGGCATAAATCAGGTGGGGCAAAACAATGAAATTATTTGAAAACCAGAATAAGGCAATTAAACTCAATCCTTTTAGGTACTGGTCATCATAATGGGTATATCCCATTGAAGAATATTATCTCTCTTAGCATCCTGTTCAGAACCAGCAAGATGGATTAATAATAATAATAATCCTTGCATTTGATATAGAGCTTTTCACATCTTCTAGATGGGTCAAAGCGCTTCACAGAATATGTTGTTAAGTGAATTGCCTGTATATTTGTGGGTGATACGTGGCAGACAATTGCGCACAACAGTGTCCCACAAACAGTCACGGATTGAAAATGACCAATTTTTATTATTGTTTTGGTTTGGAGGGATTATTATTAGGCGTGTTGAGTAAAGAAACTTGCCCAAGGTTTCGCCCTGCCTGGAATTGTGCTCACACATTATGGGACAGTCATGCAGATGTCGGAAAGGTGACCTTACAAAACCACAGGCTTTTTGAAAATTGTGACGAACGTCAGCTGATTTGATTGAACCACACATGCAGTATTCCTGTATTAGTGCAGTCAGCATTTCTCTACTGAGCTTCCTCCTGTGCAATCTTCCATACAGTGTAATAAATTAGAGGCACACAGAGCAACTGTATAACCCATTAACTTTAACCTTTCATTCCCTGAGGGCAAACTGATCTTACAGTGTTATTTGTTGAGTTACTTTACTATAGAACTCAGTGTTCTACACAGAAGCTAGCATCACAGCTAATCCTAATATTATAGGAACAAACTACGAGCAACAATTCATTAAACTGGTGCTCTTCAACTTTGGAAAAAGGCATCTCAGGGTAGGTAGTGTAGAGGTATATTAAGATGCTAAATGGGACAGATTCAGAGTAATAATTTCAGATCTGTCAAAGCAAATTTCTTTGCACAGACAGTAATTAGCAGCTCAAACAGGTTCTAGGAACAGTAGCGGAGAAAAGGCCAGGAAATAAGTGTCTTTAAGAATAGTGGAAAAACAGTTTCCAAATAAATTACGGATTTTGCAAAATTCGGTATGTTCTTACATTTTAAGCCACGCTCTTAAGGCTAATGTCAAATCTCCAGAAACACGATACAGTACACTGCAATTACTGAACCAATGTCAAGCTCTGCTATTAACTCAAACATATTATCAAGTCAGTATGAATCAGAGTTTGACCTGTGAATCACCATCTTTTAATGCACTGAATTTAACAAGAAAGGTTTATTACTGTAGCTCCTTACGGAACCAATAAAGCTTTCTTCCTGATTAGCATATCGTAGAGCAGTACCTTCGGAAACCGATAACCTGATTCTTCAGATGTTTTTATTCTAAATCTATGAAAGATCCCTCCATTGCCTCACTCCACCATACCTTTGTAAACTACAACCCTACCACCCCTGGCCATTCCCTTCGCTCAGCAATCATGGGCCTGCTTCATGTCCCCGGTCTTGTCCATCCCATCATTGATTAGAGAGCTTTCCGTCCTGCTCTCATTCTCTGGAACTTCATTCTCCTTGTCTCAATTTAGACTTTTATCTAGTCAGGAACTCTAATATTCCAGCTCTATTTGACATGACATTTATCAGTGTATTGATGACAGGGTCAGGCCACAGTTGACAGCCTTTTGGCACTCGCTGTATTAGCTCACAAAGAGATGACTATTTTGAGCTGATGAGGAGGTGGTAAGAAATGTGGATTTTACATAGATTTATATAAAATGTACAGCACGCAAAAAGGCTATTCGGGCTAACAAGTCTATGCTGTTTATATTCCACATGAGTCTCCACGCATTTTGTTTACTCCCCCCTATATCCTACCCTTAAAGTTCCAAAAATATATTTCTTAAAAGAAACCCTTAGATAATGTGGGTCAATCAGCATCTGAAAGAGAAAATAAGTAATAGTATTGGGGTAAATATGTGAAGGGTAGGATTGTGGGGAAAGGTGTGTGAGACTCTCCAACTAATATTGGGTAAGATATTGGTGAGGAGGTAGTGGTGGTGGTAGGGGGACTGTGTTGAAATCCCCAGCGCTTATTCGTAGGATTTTGTTTGGTAATTAGATAGGCCTCTGGAGCGCAGAGGCTGAAAGATTCAGCCTTTCTTAAAAATAAATGTTCTGCAATGTTCACTTACCTCACCTACATAACTGTATTTGCACTTGAGAATCATCCTGTAAAGTCTCGTCCGGTTTTCATCCTCAAATGGCATAGTTCCACTCAGCAAAATATAGGAGATGACTCCTAAAGCCCACATATCTACAGCATTGGTATAAGGTTTCCGCAAGAGGATCTCAGGTGCAATATACTCTGGCGTGCCACAAGTGGTCCTCATAGACCAGTCTCCACCTTTGTTCCCAGAATTGGCCAGACCAAAGTCAGTGACTAGGATCTTGGAATCTGAACCTGGATGATAATAAAGGAGATTTTCCGGTTTCAGGTCCCTGTGTGTAATCCCCAAGCTATGCAAGTATCTGATCCCATCTAGAACCATCTGCAGGACCCTGGTAGCGTCTCTCTCTGTAAAGGATCCTTTGGCAATAATGCGGTCAAAAAGTTCTCCGCCAGTAGCAAGTTCCATCACCATGTACACACGGTTTTGGGTCTCAAAGACCTCGATGAGCTGGATGATGTTGCGGTGACTTACTCTCCTCAGCACATTAAGCTCGGACTCGCACACCTCCTTCCCTTCCTTTGCTCTGGTCTCAATCATTTTGATGGCAAAGGGCTGTCTGGTGGCTCTGTGCTCAACTCTCACTACTCTGCTGAAGCTCCCTCTTCCGATCAAAGCCTTGATGTCGTACCTGGAAAAGCACAATGCACAAATGACAAGATTGATACAGAACCATGGCAGAACTTTTCAAAAACTTTTACACTTCCAAATTATAGATAATGATTAATAACAAGTGTTGTTTCTTTCATGGTGACGGTAATAATAATAATAATCCTTGTATTTGCTAGAGAGTGGAGCTCTGCTGTAACACTGGCTATTCTGCCTTTCCCACACGACAGCCAGACTTCTGAACTGCTGATGGAGCTGGTGCACCCGTTTTGACACAAATAAATGCCAGGGACCATGTCCAAATCATGTTATAAGCAAATCTTGGTTAAATGGTTTAAGTCAAAAGATCTCAAAGTGCTTCAGAGATAATTGTTATCACGTGTAGTGACTGTAATTGTAGCCAGACAATTTGCACACAAATAACAACAATAAAATTACATTTATATAGTGCCTTTCACGTCAGGAGGACGTCCCAAGGCACTGGACAGACAGAGTTTAGGGTCGGGGTGGGGGAGGGCAGAGAGGAAAGTAGGGAGATCAAAAGCACGGTCGAAGAGGAGGGTCTTGAGATGGGTCTTGAAGGTGGCGAGGGAGGGCACGAGATGGAGGGCCGGGGATGGAGTTCCAGAAGGTGGGTGCAGAACGGTGGAAGGCCCACCCGCCAATAGTGGGGCAAGCAAGGCAGGGGACGTGAAACAGGCCGGAGCCCGCTGAGCGGAGGGAGCAAACAGGGTAGTAGGGGGTTAGGAGGTTGGAGAGGTATAGGGGAGCACGACCATGGAGGGCTTTAAAGGTGAGGACCAGAATCTTGAACTGTATCCTCTGGGTGATGGGAAGCCAGTGGAGTTGGGCAAGGATGAAGGTGATAGGGTCACAGAGCCTGGTGCGGGAGAGGATACGGGCTGCAGAGTTCTGGATGATCTGCAGCCTGTGGAGGGAGGAGTTGTGGAGGCCGACCAGCAGTGAGTTTGCATAGTCGAGCTTCGATGTAATGAAAGCATGTATGAGGGTTTTGGCGGCCTGCGGTGTGAGATATTATCGGAACTGGGCGACATTGTGGAGGTGGCGGAAGGCAGAAGTGGTCATGGTGCAGATGTGGGGTAGAAAGGATAGTTGGGGGTCAAACAAGACGCAAAGGTTCCGGACTGGCTTAGCAAGGTATAGTGTGTATCCATGGATGATGATGCTGTCAGTGCCTGTAGTGTGGAGGCGCTGACAGGAGCCAATCAGGAGAGCCTCGGTCTTGTTGACGTTCAACTGAAGAAAGTTCGCTCTCATCCAGGACTTGGTGTCTGACAGACATTCTGCCAGCACAGCAGTGGTCCTGGAATCAAGGGAGGAGGCAGAGAGGTAGAGTTGGGTGTCACTTGCATGCATGTGGAAGTTGACCCCATGTCTGCGGATGATGTCACCAAGAGGGAGCATATAGATGTTGAAGAGGAGGGGACCAAGGACAGAGTCCTGAGGAACACCGCACGAGGTCCGGGGGCTAGAGGAGAAGCTGTTTGAGGAGATGAAGTGCAGGCTGTATGAGAGGTACGATCTGAACCAATCAAAGACAGCGCCGTGGAGGTTGAGGTGAGAGGAGAAGCGGTGGATGGGGATAGCGTGGTTGACGGTGTCAAAAATAGTACAGAGAGGTCAAGGAGTACGAAGAGGCAGAGGGAGCTTTGGTTGCAGATGGACAGAATGTCATTTGTTACTTTTCCCAGGGCTGTTTCTGTGCTGTGGGCGGAACGGAAACCCGATTGGGGGGGTTTGAGAAGGGAGTGGCGGGAGAGGAAGGAGTGAAGCTGAGAAGCAACAACTCATTCCAAGACCTTGGAGAGGAAGGGGAAGTTGGAGATGGGGCGGTAGTTAGGGAGTAGAGAAGGATCCAGGGAGGGTTTTTTAGGATAGGGATGATGACAGCGGTTTTTAAAGGGGTGGGAACAGTACCAGAGGACAGGGAGAGGTTAACGATGTCAGTGAGTAGAGGGGCAAGGAGGTAGAGCTGGGAGGGGGGTAGGGATGGGGTCGAGGGAGCAGGTGGTAGGTTTCATACGAGTTATGGGAGTGATGAGAGAGGATGGGAAGACAGGTTCAAAGGTGTAGAGGGAGGGGTGGGTAGGGGCTGGGGTGGGAGGAGGAGATGGGGAGGGGGTAGCAATTGCAGTGGCAGCTGAGTGGATTTCCTCAACTTTGGATTGGAGGACATCCAGCATCACCTCGCAGTTGGCATTTGAGGTGAGGATGGGTGAGGCGTGAGAGTGTGGGCGGAGGAGTCGGTTCGTGATGGAGACAAGGAATCTGTAGTTGTTCTTAGTCTCCATGATTGTCTTCTGATTAGCTCTGTGACCTCCTAGCCCCCTACGAACCCGCCCGCTCCTTCGCTCAGCCGGCTCCGGCCTTCTTCACGTCCCCTGACCCACCCGCCCCAGCAATTGGCGGGAGAGCCTTCAGCCACGCTGCCCCCAACCTCTGGAATTCCATCCACCAATCACTCCGCCTCGACCCCTCCTTAGCCTCCTTCAAGTCCCACCTCAAAACCCTCCTCTTCGACCATGCCATCGGTCAGCCCCTTCCCCTCCCCTGCCTTCTCCCTCTCTGACCCCAGCTTGGGTCTGAAATGCTGTACACTGTCCAGTGCCTTGGGACATCCTCCCGATGTGAAAGGCGCTATACAAATGTAATCTTGTTGTTGTTGTTAGAGTAGAACAATGATTTAGCGGAGGCGAGGGTGGAGAGGAAGGATTTGACATAGTTCAGCCAAATCTGCCAGTGCACAGTTAAGTTTGATTTAGTTCAGATGACTCCAAGGCAGCCGAGAGGGAGGGGTGGGGTGGGGGGAGATTTTTTTCCAGGGGCTGTACGAGATGGAGATGGGTTGGGTGGCAGTGGGGAGAGGGATTGAGGAGTTAAGGGAGATGAAGTGATGGTCCGAGATCGCTTTGTCGATGATGGTGAGGTCCGAGACGGTGAGGTCCCGAGTGATCACCAGGTCAAGGGGGTGACCGCGGATGTGGGTGGCGGAGTGGATGTGGAGGGCGAGATTGAGGGAGGAGATAAGGGAGGAAAAGTCAGCAGAGGTAGAGCAGGAGGTGGTGAAGTGAAGGTGGAAATCGCCAAGGATGAGGAGGCGTTCAGAGTGAAGGGAAAGGGACGATAGGAGGGTGGAGATGTAACAACAACAACAAGATTCCATTTATAGAGCGCCTTTCACGTCAGGAGGACGTCCCAAGGCGCTGGACAGTTGGGTCAGGACCCGAGCAGGGGGGAAATGGTCAGGGTGAGGGGAGGGAAGGGACGGAACGAGGAGGGGGTAGAGAGTCGAGAGGGGAGCTGAAGGCAAAGAGAAAGGTCTTGAGACTGACCTTGAAGGAGGAAAGGGAGGAGGCGGCGAAGGCACTGGGGGATGGAGTTCCAGAGCCTCGGGGCTGAGAGGCTGAAGGCCCGACCACCGATGGTAGGGCGGTTGTGGCGGGGAATGTGGAGCAGACCAGAGCCAGAGGAACGGAGGGTTCAGGCAGGTAGGTAGGGGGATAGTAGGTCGGATAGGTAGGAGGGAGCGAGGCCGTGAATGGCCTTGTAGGTGAGGATGAGGATCTTGAATTCGATCCTCTGGGCGATGGGGAGCCAGTGGAGGGGAGCGAGGGTGGGAGTGATGTGGTCGCGAAGCCTGGTGTGGGACAGTACACGAGCGGCAGAGTTCTGAATGACCTGCAGCTTGTGGAGGGAGGTGCCGGGAAGGCCGGCGAGGAGAGAGTTCCCATAGTCCAGCCTTGAGGTGATAAAGGTGTGGACCAGAGTTTCAGCAGCGTGAGGGGTGAGGTAGTGCCGTAGTCTGGCGATGTTTCGGAGATGATGGAAGTCGGTGCCAGTTGTGGCACGGATATGTCAGGGAAGAAGGTGGGGGTGGGCTTGGGGGGGCAGTAGAGGAGGAGAATTTTGAGGGAAAGGTTGAAGGGATGATAGAGGGTAAGGTGCTCAAAGGGGGCAAGGTTCCAGAGGAGTGAGGGGATAGGCCGAGCGGGGACCGGAAGATGAGAGCCACCCCACCACCACGGCAGTTAGATCGAGGGGTATGATGGAAGGTGTAGCTGGCTGTTGTGGCCTCAGTCAGGGGGAAGGTGTCACCTGGAGTGATCCAGGTTTCAGTGAGGGCAAGGATGGCGATGTTTTCATCAATGATGAGGTCTTGGATGGTATGTGTTTTGTTGGAGAGGGAATGGACATTTTGTAGACCGATGCAGAGGGGACAGTTGGTGGCAGAAAGTAGGGGGTGAGACAGGGTGGTGGGGTGGGGGGGACTGATAGGGAGGGTAGGGATGTGGATCAGGGAGAAGAGGTTGGCCCCTGTGGCCAGGGACTGGTGAGCCTTGTGGCAAGAGTAGGGGATAGGGCAGTCAGAGTGGCTGCTGTTAGACTGCCAGCGGTGACTCCCACAGTGGGCCCGACGGAGGATTCGCCCAGGGAGGCAGTGGGACAGTCGAGCAGGGATAGGAGTTGGGGAGGGCGGTGGGAGAGGAGGATCGAGCGGGAGTAAGTGAGGGTAGAGAACAACTGTGGGGGCATCGTGGAGAAGCAGCTCGGGTTGGTGGCGATAGCCATAATGCGCACGCCAAGACTAAAAGCAAGTGGCGGGTTTGGGGGGGTCGGCGAGGCATGGTTAGCCCACTGGTGAGGGTCATCATGGGGAGAGAGGGACAGTGTTATAATCAGTCCAGTCTGAGAGATTCAAAGTTGGCGGGAAGATGTGACTTCACGCGGCAGCCGGTCTCTGGTTGGCTGTTGACCGGGGGAGTCAGTGATGGCCGCGGCGGCGAATTCCACGATGGCCCCGCGGAGCGAGTATGTGAAGTAAACGTCTAAATTTATCTGGAGGATTATTGAATCCTTTCTCTTTTTAAATTTCATCATGTGGTCCTTGACATTCAGCTGAACAGACAGGACTTCAGGTCAATGTCTCAACTCAAGGATAGGACTTTGAACAGTGCAGCCCTCTCCCAGCCCCGCACTGGAACATCAGCTTGGACTATAAATCCAAGCCACCATGTGGCACTTGAGTGCTGCCAACTGAGCCAGGCTGACACTGCGACCTATTCTCTAATTAGCAGTACACTTACAGGCCTCACTAAGTAAGAATCGTGGGATTTTCTCACTATGTAACATATTGCCTTGCCCCCTCCCTCCCTACCTTCAAATCCCACCTAAAGACCTTCCTTTTTAATCGTGCTTCCGGCACTTCCCTCCTCCCTCTCCCCCTGGCTCGGCGTAAGACTCCACCACTTTCGAGCGCTCCGGGACACTGCCGCGCATGTAGGCCGCTATATAAATGTGAGTTGTTGTCGTTGTATAATTGCACCACCAATGTGGGAAATTTACTGACAAGTGAAGAATTGCCTTTACTATGCCCTGCTTTACTGGAACCAGAACAAATTCCAAGTCTTGCTTTGTGTTTGACAAGAAACCTGTTTATTTAAACTGCATAATTATTACCCTTTAAATACTTCAACGATCTGCCTAATCCCTATTGTCAATTCTTAGCCATTCACTCAGGGCTGCATATTATTTCAGGAACACCAACCACCACTTATTGGCAAAGCAACTATTGAGCAGGTGTCAGCCTGGAGCACACACTTCAGAACCCAGCGTAATTGGTGATTTTTAGATCATTGTTAAGTGCTCCTCAGGAGATACTGTAAAGTGGTGTTTTTGTGGGTAATTTATGGATGAACAAACACAGCAATGTTCCACAAACAGCTGTCCAGTGAGTGACCGATTTAATTTGGGGGGATTATTGGCCAAGACACTCGGGGAAGTAACTCCCTTCTCTTTTTGAATACTTCCATGGGATCTTTAACGTTCACCTGTAGAGGCAAATTGATTTAACATCTCATCTGAAGGACAGCACCTCCTCCAATGCAGCACAATGCAATGAAGTGTCAACTAGTCTTAGGCAATAAAGGTTCCAAGTCCAACTTGGGGCTTGAAACCACAGCCTTCTGACTCAGAGGCGAGAGTATTAACAACTGAGCCAGCCTGACACCCATTGTTATTTGAATGTGTGCAGATGAGTCTACTTGTAAAGTTTAAGTGCATTATATCAATTTAAATGTTCAATCAAACAGTTTTAGTTGCTTCATTATCAAAATGTTTATCATGAAGGCTAATGGTCTTCAGATAGAATATGTTCACTGTAGACAATTAGAAAAATTATATTTCCAGCAGTTACACTCATTTGTGTGAATAACAACTTGCACTTAAATACCACCTTTTACATAAGCAGTTTACAGAGTTGGTGTAGAAATCCAAGCAAGGTGGGAAGTCGGTAGGCATTGATTGAAGAGATAAAAAAATTTCAGAAAGTTCTTAAGGAGGGAGGGTGTGAGGTGGAGGGATTTGGGGAGAGAATTTTCAGAAAGCGGGAGCTCATGGCATTGTTACTGTAAGCACACACATACTAAGTGGAAGAGATAGGAATGATAAAAAGAGGAAATATGATATGAGAAATGGACAATGATCTGACTAACAAGACGTACAGAGAAATCTGAAAAGCTGTGTGAACCAGGTGCTCTGGAAAAATGCTTGTGATAAAAATTATTGAACCAGCAGTGTCTTATTACATTTTAGAAACATTGCAAAGCACTTCACAGAATTTTACTGTAGAGTGTAGTGGGTGTATATTTTGTAGTAACGACAGTAGAGTGTTTGCCCATAAAATACCTAGTCAGTTTTATTACACTTGACAGTATACCCTGCCATGCACTTTGAGTTGCTTTCCTGACATATAAGCTGCTGCAACAAATGCAAAGATTATTATTATTGCTGTGTATTCAATGTGACATAACAGGTTGAATTAACCAAAACTGCAGGCCATACAAGTAACACGACAATATCTTTCCAAAACATAATTCAAAATCAAATATGATGCTGGGATCAATCCATGGGACCTTGTGGGGAAGGTACAATGAAATCAAATCAACATTGTGCTGCCTGTAAACAAGCCTTTAAAGGGGGTAAAATAAGGGTAACCAGGTAGATTTGGACCGTAAACTTGGCTTTTCCATCTATAATGTAACTGTTCGTGTTATTGCCAACTAAATCTGTGAATCTTAAAAGTTTGGAATTTGGTACCTGGTTCTCTCCCGAGCCACACCAAAAAATAAAAATCTTACAAGTTTGGGATTCGTCGGCAAAACATACAGTCAATTCACTTTACAGTATATCCTGTGAAGTGCTTTGAGACGTCTCGACGATGTGATCAGGTGCTACATCAAATAATAATAATAATAATCCTTGCATTTGATATAGCGCTGTCACATTTTCGAGACGTCTCAAAGCGCTTCACGGGACATGCTGTGACTGTATATTGACTGTATATTTGCGGGCGAAAGGCAGCAGCCAATTGCAATTGCAAGGATCATTATTATCATCATCATCATCATTATTATCATTTGGTATCTGTGTTTTTCTTCCAGCCCCCAACAACAACAACAACAACAACAACAACGACGACAAAAACTTTTTTTTAAAAAAAAATCTCTTAAAAGTTTGTAATTTGGTATCTGGTTCTCTTCCCAGCCACAAGAAGAAGAAATAGTAATAATAATAATAATAATAATAATAATGGAAATTTTCAGGACGTTTCACCTTCTCTGAGTGCCCCTTACCTTGCTGTGACCTTGGGATCAAACTTTGCCCTGTACTTGGCCACTCTGACCCTCCTGACTCCATCTGGGCAGCCGACCTCGCTCTGCCCGCAGACCACCGCCTTGGACCCCGGCTTCACCGGTCCCTCCTCACCGCAGCCCCTGGTCCTGCCTCTGACCACAGTCTTCACAAAGTCCAGGTAGCAGTCCTTGGGCGGCTCTGGCATCACTTTGCTCGTCCCGCAGCCCATCACTCGGACATCGTGCTCTGAGTGAGCAGCCAATGCAGATGCACGTCTCACCCACCCTCTGCTGCTCTCTCTTTCTTCTCTCTTTCTCTCCTCACACACTCACTCACTCTCTCACTCTCTCTCTCTATCTCTCACTCTCTCTCTGCATCCACAACCACTTACTGCACCAAGAGAAGCAGCAGCCGGATTTACCAGGTGCTGCTGCTGCTGCTGCTGCCTCCAACCATTGCTTCCCTCCTCATTTGCAATTCGTGTTTAACACTGGAACCCTCCCCAGACGCCAGGAGAGGGCGGCCGATGGGATCACACTGCCATCAGCATTTCTCTACCAGCACTAAACTGAAGGGGTCCGATTGCATTTGCGTCTGAATGTTCCTCTCGATCCACTCCAGGAAGCGTTTCCCAAGAACAAGGCAACTGCTCTCTCTCTCTCTCTCTCTTTCACTCACACACACACACACATTGCACTGATAGCTTTAACTGGACAAAGAGAATCAAACCCCACAATCTCCCTCTCAATCTGACACCAACTCCCAACCCTACACCCAACCCACACAATCTGACATCAAAAACCCAGTCTTAAACCCAACCCTATAATATATAATAATGCTTGTATTTGATATCGCTCCTCATCACATCTTTGAGACGTCTCAAACCGCTTCACTATATTGTAAAGTGGATGGACTGTGTATTTTGCGGGCGAAACGCAACAGCCAATTGCGCACAGCAGTGTCCCACAGTCGTGGATTGAGTGCCCAATTTTTTTATGAGGGTTTATTACCCCTGGAAAGCGATCCACCAGTTGACTAACAACCAGGTTCCTACTTAGTGTGCAAACAGAGGTGTGTGGAGTAAGGAAACTTGTCGCCTGTCCGGGAATCGAATCCAGGTTCTCTAACTTGCAAGGCGAGCTCGCTAACCATTATGCTACGTAATGGTGCGGCACGGGATAACACCACACCAGACTGGGACAATCTGACACCAACTTCAACCCGAGAATCTGTCAATTTCAAACCTACACTTTATACATTCAATCTGACAATTACACCGGACGCCTTTTTTTTCCAAGTTTGAAATTGATTTAACTCCGTAATTCTCTCCCAGAATCCCTCCATCCATCACTATCCATACTCTGCTCTCAAAACCCTTCTAAAAACCTACCTTTTCCACTGCGGTCAACTCCTTCTTGTTTCCCACCCTGTTAAGGTTCAACATTTTATTGTACTTTGAGGCGCAATATAAATGCGTTTCATCGTTGGCTGCGTTTGGAATCCAAGGGCTGAGGTTCCCGACTACAAGATTAGTTTTCACAGCCATTGACATGTATTCCAGTGCATTCCTGTGACACCATTCACTGCCTGGCTGAATAGGAGCATGAAAGTACACACAGGAAATGCATACCCTTGTGGGTGGCAAAACCAGGCCAGCAGAATGCATGAAAAATATCCGACCCCCAGCTCGGGTCTGTAACTCTGTCTGTCCACCGCCTTGAGACTTTCTCCTGACGTGAAAGGCGCTATACAATGTAATTTTGTTGTTGTTATTGTTACTGAGGGTTCTGAGCCTCTTATATTGGTTAACTTACTCAGCTTATGTCTTGGCCAACAATTCTCCGGAGGAATTATTCATTCATAAGATACTATTGAGTTTTAAAAAATCCTTATTTGGTTGAAAGCTGACATTCTAATGTCTTATTCAGAAAACTGACCCGATAAACTTGGTTTCCTGATTGTTTTTTCAAGGGCAGGTGGGCAGTCCAAAGAACAAGTATGGGAGGAAATACACCATGACCCACTCTGCCTTCCCCCTACCTCCGCAATGTCGCCCAGCTCTGACACTGTCTCACACCGCAGGCTGCCGAAACCCTCGTATACACCTTCATTACATCGAGGCTTGACTACGCAAACCCACTGCTTGTCGGCCTCCCCTCCACAGGCTGCAGATCTTCCAAAACTCTGCAGCCCATGTCCTCTCCCGCACTAGGCTCCACAACCCTATCACCCCCATCCTTGCCCAACTCCACTGGCTTCCCATCACACAGAGGATACAGTTCAAGATCCTGGTTCACACCTTCAAAGCCTTCCATGGTCTTGCTCCCCCCTACCTCTCTGACCTCCTAGCCCCCTACCACCCTGTTTGCTCCCTCCCCTCAGTGGGCTCCAGGCTGCTTTACGTCCCCCACCTTGCTCGCCCCTCTATCGGCAGGCGGGCCTTCCGCGACTCTGCACCCACCCTCTGGAACTCCATCTTGCAGTCCCTCCGTCTCATCCCCTCCCTCACCACCTTCAAGACCCACCTCAAGACCCTCCTCTTTGACCATGCTTTCGATCTCCCTGCTTCCCCACTGCCCTCCCCACTGACGTGAAAGGTGTTTTACAAATGTAATTTTGTTGTTGTTGTAATGCTAGGTGATATCAGCACTCCGAGACACTATCCTGACAGTTGTTGTTGCTGCTTTCAGTTATGTTTCAATTAATGTTGTTTTAACCTAAATCTTAATACCTGGGAAGCTTTCACATATAACTATATATAAAAACATCAAATACCCACTGCACTTTACCCCACCAAACCAGCTTCAGGCTTTGAGGATTGCTGGCATCGCCAAATGCTCTTTGAATGATTGCAATGTTGAGTTTACACAGAGGACAGCACCTTACAGTGGCCAGATTTATTAATTCTCTCAAGTCTGACGCCAGGCCAAACATGAACTTACTTTCCATTAACATGGGGCAACAGGACAAGAGATCACATACTCAGCGTTGTGAACAGCAATTTCAGGATAGACACCAGGAAGTCATCAAGGGTTGGAACAGGTTACCAGAAACCAGGAAGGATGGTTGAGGCCATGGCACTGGGCTTATTTAAGAAGTAGCTTTATGCTCTGAAGATAATTTTCTTTTGTTGAGCCAGGTTACTTTACCTGTTATGAGTTTGGTTTGCAGGGAAAACAGGAGCTGAGTGGGAAGTGACCAATCTGCCCTTCCAAGACCTGGTCTGTCAATAGCAGGTCCGTGGAGCACTGTGGACCCACCTGGCTCAAGAACCTGACTTTGAGACTGTCTGTGTTGGGAAGACAGTTGGTATTCTGAAGGATAAACTCAAAGGGGTTGAAGGACCTTCTTCAGCCAAACTTCTCTTGTCATCTTGTGAGGCTTGATTGGAGCTGGACTGAAGCTGAAGGATTTACCTGTTACTCTCTGGCCCTGAGCTCACTGTTGTCACAGTGTTAGTGGAGTCCTGTAGCTCAGTGGTTAGAGTACTCGCCTTGCAAGCGAGACATCTGGGTTTAATTCCAGGCAGGGTGAAACCTTGGGCAAGTTTCCTTACTTCACACGCCTAATAATAATCCCTCCAAAACAAAACAATAATAAATTGGTCATTTTCAATCCATGACTGTTTGTGGGATACTGCTGTGCACAATTGGCTGCCGCGTTTTGCCCACAAATATACGGTCAATTCACTTTGCAGTGTATTATGTGAAGTGCTTTGAGACGTCTAGAAGACGTGAAAAGCACTATATCAAATGCAAGGATTATTATTATTATTAGTGGGTTTTAATGGTCCTAGAGGATAGCACATGAGATCGGAATGTGACATGTATTATCTGATGAACTCTTCATCACTTGGAGCATTGATTTAGATTAGATAATTCCTCCAGTCTGGGAGAAAAAAGAACAATTCAGGCAATTGTTACATTAATAAAGCAGAGTACAAAAATATTACACATCTTGCTACACTTGCAGTGCTGTCGTGAATGTTGTATGCAATATTACTTCTAATGGGTCTTTTTTTGTTCATTTAAATGTAAATGAATGAGTGGGGTGAGACAGAGAATGGATATCTTATAGAAAAGCACACAAGGAAGCTGTGAGCTCCTCTGGACTCTGATGTTAGTGTGGGTGGGTAGCAATGAGCAAGGGCTGGCAATATATTTATTTTCCACTCAGTAAGTTAGAATCATAGAAAGTTTACAGCGCATCAGGAAGTCATTCAGCCCAATACTTCTCTCCCAGAAGTTCACCCTCTCTCTCTGAATCCATATACTCTAATCCCATTCCCCTGCTCTTTCCGCATGCGTTAATATTGCAGTTTTTTTCCCAAAGTATTTTGTCTAATTCATTTTTAACTATTGTTATAGACTCAGCTTCAATAATAATTTGTGGTAGGCTTGTCCACATTAAAATTTATGCTTACAAGTGCATCTTTTCAACTGATTTAAATGTCATTTTGTTGTTGTTGTTGTTGTTGATTATTTCACCTGTTTAACATAACATTTATACACAGTAATTTAAAATGTTCTTCCTTCCCAGGAAATCTTTTTTTAAAAAATCCAGTTTTGCTTAGCTCACCAGTTACAAAATGCAACGCTTTTGAAAGATGATTTCAGTGTGTGCCTGAAAAAACACTAGCATAAAATGCATCATAACCCCAGTACTCCACTGTAGTGTCAGCCTAGATTATAAATTCAAAGTCCCAAAATTGGGCTTGAAACCACAACCATCTGACTCTGAGGTGAGAGTGCTCCTAACTGAGCCAGGCTGACACCTTCAAGGCTGTTCGGCTGCCACGTCCACCTAGAAAAATAGAGTCACTACACTTTACAATGAATCCTGTGAAGGGCTTTGAGACGTCTTAACGACTTGATAAGGCGCTATACTAAATACAAGGATTATTATTAGTAATCGGCAGTATAACAGCAGCTACAGAGATGTACTTTAGCCACCAGATGGCGCAACATGTTAGGAATATCAAGTAGACTTCTATTGTGTGGTATGCACTGTTTCCTTCACTTGAAAGCAATGGGGTCTGAGTTGCGATATAGTATTCATATAAGGCTTGGAAAGTATTAATTTGATACTTTCCACGCTTCAGTTGGCTTGAGCAGACAGATTAAGGTCAATTTGCTAAAGTGCAAAACAAAAAGCCAGTGAGCAAAACAGACAATGTTGGAGAGATGGTGTTGTGATCTCTTGCCTTTCTTTTGAGTTTGGTGGCTTTCACCTCATCCCGAAAGGAAACTTTATGATTGGTCATTAGTCTGAAATAAATGGTCTCTGATGAAATATTAACCTATTTTCTTTCAGGTGCCGATCACTATCCA